AAATTTAAAATCACACCTGTTTATTTGTTAGAAGTGGTTTTATAGCAGAACGCCAACAATAAACTTATATTTCAGTTTTCTGGAGCAGAAACACGTTCCAGGCTCATATTTACAAACAGTATTTTCATAAAAACAGATCAGTTTTAATGTTTCAAGTGAAACTGGATGAGTTTTGATTATTTACAGGTTTTTTATTCAAACATGGCTGCTTGGTCCCGCCTCCTCCTACAGCTCATTGGTCCCTCACAGCTGTCAGTCACAGCTGCTTCCTGCCTCTGGCTGAGAGGAAGAGGAGGATTTTGCTGTCTTTAAAGAGTCCAGACCCTCAGGTCTGTGGAAGTTCTTCATCCTCCTCCTGAAGCACTTGGTGCCGAGAGAAACCCGGTCGGCCCTGCAGAACTCACGGAGCTCCAAACAGAACCTCCTGGGTTTGATTCTGATTTTCAGACATTTTWATCTAAATTTGTCTCCTTTTTCTCTGAGTTCAGTCACTTTAACTTCAACAAACAGGATGTAGCTGCTGCTTTCCTGGACTTTTATTGTGAAGATCTCCACAGGAAGTGGAACTCAGTCACAACCTTTGGAGGTGAGTTCTGCTGAATGACGTCATTGTTGTCTCCTCAGTTTGATCTGAGGACAGGAAGTGTGGTGATGATGTCACGTGTGAGGTCATCAGGAGATGATGTCACGTGTGAGGTCATCAGGAGATGATGTCACGTGTGAGGTCATCAGGAGATGATGTCACGTGTGAGGTCATCAGGCGTCGATGCGGAAGGACAGCAGCTTTTCAGAGTGCATGTTGTTGAGCGTGCGCAGGTCAGGCAGCCTCAGCAGCAGTTTGGTGAAGCGTGGCGAGTCCACGTTGTGGTGCTGGTTGTCAGGTGCGACGGTGGACTTGTTGATCAGACCGCGCAGCGCTCTGATCAGGTCCTCCTGCAGCTGCTCCACCGACGCCACGTTCTCGATCCCGGAGCGGTCTGCCAGAAACACACAGGTGAAGGTTAGAAACGGGAGGAGGAGGGCGGTGCCACAGCAGGCTCCTCGCTCAGCGCCGGACTGACCTGCAGAGACCAGAACCACGGCGGTGAACAGACCCAGCTCCTCGGCGCTCAGCTCCAGTGACGCCAGTTTTCGGCTGAAGTCAAACATGGCTGCCAGGAGCTCCTTCATCCCCATCTCCTGCAGCTCCGGCAGGGCGTAGGTGGCGCCCGAGACAAACGTCACCGTCTGCTCCTTCACGCCGAACAGTGACGAGAAGCGCACCATCAGAACCTGAGACAGAGGAGAACCAATCAGAACCTGAGACGAAGGAGAACCAATCAGCTGCAGCCTGGATGAATCATCAGTGAACTCTAAAGGTCTAACCTCGAAGGTGCCGGCCTTCAGCAGGGTCACCTGGTCGCTCTGAGACAGGGCGCTGAATCCTGGGATCTGTTTAGCAAACTCCACCACCTCCTTCACCGCAGGAGTGAAAGACAGAGAGAAGTCCTCCCAGACCTCCTGGGGGGTCTTTGAGGGGTCTGCATGAGGCTGCATGTTCATTGGACAAGCCTGTGGAGAGAGGAAGAGCCAATCAGATGACAGCGTTCTGAAGCCTTGTCCCTCCTGATGCCAGTGTGGCTGCATGATCCGTACCAGAAACACGATCTGTACCAGAAACACAATCTGTACCGGAAACACGATCCTTACAGGAAACACGATCTGTACCAGAAACACAATCTGTACCGGAAACACGATCCTTACAGGAAACACGATCTGTACCAGAAACACAATCTGTACCGGAAACACGATCCTTACAGGAAACATGATCTGTACCAGAAACACAATCTGTACCGGAAACACGATCCTTACAGGAAACATGATCTGTACCAGAAACACAATCTGTACCGGAAACACGATCCTTACAGGAAACATGATCTGTACCAGAAACACAATCTGTACCGGAAACACGATCCTTACAGGAAACATGATCTGTACCAGAAACACGACTCATACCAGAAACATGATCCGTACAGGAAACACAATCCGTACAGGAAACATGATCTGTACCAGAAACACGATCCGTACCGGAAACACGATCTGTACCGGAAACACGATCCGTACAGGAAACACGATCTGTACCAGAAACACGATCCGTACCAGAAACACGATCCGTACCGGAAACACGATCCGTACAGGAAACACGATCCATACAGGAAACACGATCCGTTCCAGAAACACGATCCGTACCAGAAACACGATCCGTACAGGAAACACGATCCATACAGGAAACACGATCCGTTCCAGAAACACGATCCGTACCGGAAACACGATCCGTACCGGAAACACGATCCGTACAGGAAACACGATCCGTACCAGAAACACGATCCATACAGGAAACACGATCCGTACCAGAAACATGACCAGTACAGGAAACACGATCTGTACCGGAAACACGATCCGTTCCAGAAACACGATCCGTTCCAGAAACACGATCCGTACCGGAAACACGATCCGTACCAGAAACATGACCCGTACAGGAAACACGATCCGTACCAGAAACATGACCCGTACAGGAAACACGATCTGTTCCAGAAACACGATCTGTACAGGAAACACAATCCGTACCAGAAACACGATCCGTACCAGAAACATGACCCGTACAGGAAACACGATCCGTACCGGATACAGGAAACACGATCCGTACCAGAAACACGATCCGTACCGGAAACACGATCCGTACAGGAAACACGATCCGTACCAGAAACACGATCTGTACAGGAAACACAATCCGTACCGGAAACACGATCCGTACCAGAAACATGACCCGTACAGGAAACACGATCCGTACCAGAAACACGATCCGTACCGGAAACACGATCCGTACCAGAAACATGACCCGTACAGGAAACACGATCCGTACAGGAAGAAGTCTATCATTTAGCACGTGTAAATGGGCTGACAGTACGGATCGGGCAGCCACAGCCAGCACCAGCTGATGGGATCTTACCAGAACGATTCCTGACGGACATCTCTGCYTCTGAGTCACATGATGCATGGCTCGCTCTCCTCCAATCAGATTACAGTTCTTCAGGCTCCACCTCCCGTTGTTGTGGTGATTATTAGCGAGGTTGGGGTCCGAGTGGTTGTGATTGYTGTGGCAGCTGGAATGGAAACCCCCAGGGCAGTGATTAAACCAAAGCTCCGCCTCCTTGTTGAGGGCGTGGTTATTGTTCTGATGTGGAGCGCGGGGATTGGTCAGCTTGTCGTTTGCATACAGGAAGGTTTCGCGGTGCGCGCGTGCAACGGCGTTAATGGTGCTGTCCATCCCTGGGCTGGGGGGCGGGGAGAAGGAAGAGTGGGCGGGGCTTTGCTCTGAGGGGGGAAGAAGAGGGGAGGGAGAGGCAGGTGGCTCAGGAGGACAGGTGGAAGTTGTCTGAGGTGCGGGGGAGGAAGAGGAGGAGGAGGAAGAGGAGATGCTGGCGAGCTGGAAGTGGTTGTGCAGCTGGTCGTTGACCACGTTGTTCATCTGCAGCTCCGCCAGAATCCTCACCTTCTCCAGCTTGGGGATACGACCAAAACGGACCGCTGTGAATGAACAGGAAGTGAAGGAGGTCAGACAGGAAGTGGAGTTGGAGCATCAGCTGATGTTTAGCTACAACAGACAGGTGTGTCTCACCGTCGCGGCTCATGCCTACAGACAGGCACTTCCTGTAGCGACACTGCTGGCAGCGGTTCCTGTTCATCCTGACGATGCAGCAGCTCTCGCTCCTCACACACTTCCTGTACTTCATCTTCTGCTGGATGCTGCGGCGGAAGAAGCCCTGCAGAGGCAGAGGGGCGGGGTCAGAACCTGCAGACCGGTCCAAAACCTGCAGACCGGTCCAGGTGATCAGGTTGGGTGTCTCACCTTGCAGCCTTCACAGGCGTGGACTCCATAATGGAAACCTGAGGCCACGTCCCCACAGACCTTACAGAGCAGCAGCACCCCACCCAGCTCTGAAACACAGGTTAGACCAGACCATCAGGACCCGGGTCCGCCAGGACCTGGGACCATCAGGACCTGAGAGCATCRGGACCATCAGGACCTGAGACCATCAGGACCTGGGACCATCAGGACCTGAGACCATCAGGATCTGAGAGCATCAGGACCATCAGGATCTGAGAGCATCAGGACCACCAGGACCTGAGTCCATCAGGACCATCAGGATCTGAGAGCATCAGGACCATCAGGATCTGAGAGCATCAGGACCACCAGGACCTGAGTCCATCAGGATCTGAGAGCATCAGGACCACCAGGACCTGAGACCATCAGGACCATCAGGATCTGAGAGCATCAGGACCACCAGGACCTGAGTCCATCAGGACCCTCAGGACCTGAGTCCATCAGGACCTGAGGTGGACCTCTGGTTCTGACTCCTTCACCTCCTGAGGACTAACTCACTGTTCAGACTGGACACAGATTTACTGGGTGGAGTTCTCTGAGATCCTCCTCCATCGTCCCGGCCTCGAGGAGAACCTCCTGCTGAGGAGGAGGAGGAGGCGTCGTCTCCTGCAGAGCCTGAGCTGCTGAGCACTGAGGAGGAGGAGCTGAAGCAGGGCTGGGAGTTAGAGTTCTCACTGTACATGGAGACTGGACTGGTTCTGGACGGAGACCCTCCACATGAGCCCCCATAGGAGATGACACCTCCTGCAGGAGAAGGAGGGACAGTTTTTAGTTTGATGTTTATTTGATGTTTTTAAGTCTTTTTATTCATTTTTATCAGATTACAAACTAAAGAAAACAGAATTAATCTAAGTAAACAACAACAACTGGGTCAGAACCTGAAACAGAACCAGGCTCTGATGAAGAGGAGGTGCAGATCGAACCTCTTCCTCCTCGTGAGCTACCAGAGGCCACGCCCCCAGGCCATGTGCCGATGCAAGCTCCGCCCACCTGTTCCCTTTGTYCTCACGTTCCTCCCCTCAGCTCACTGAGGTCTGTTTTTATCTCAGAAATTTAGTCTTCAGATTTTTAAAGTCAATATGACAGCTTTAGTCTCCGTTTCTGTAATGACGCAGTGAACGCATCATGACGTCATCGACCTCTGATTGTCTTAATAAACTTTACGTTATTGTTTTATTTACTCATTGACTGACTGATGATCGTTTTAAACAGCAGGCTGTGTTTAACACCGGCTCTTCCTCAGGAGGAGGAGGAGCAGGAGGAGGAGGAGGAGCGTTACGTAATGACCTCGGCTCTAGCAGCAGCCAATCAGAGCGCGCGCCGCTCCGCGAAAACAAAGCGCACATGGCTCGGTTCGCCGGTCCATGTGAAGCCGGAGCAGCGGAACAAGTGGGCCGTCCACCTGAACCGAGAGACCCGCTGTCATCCTGACCCAGTTTTCTGAAACACGACCGGATTCACGGTGACGGGCCGCGTGACAGTCTCACAGACATGTGCACGACCGGTACCGGGAGAACCGGGCCGCCGGAGCCGAACACACTGAGCTGGACCCGGGGGACCCCGGAGGGACCGGACTGGGTCGTGTTCGAGCAGAACCGTCTGTGACGCGCCGCTAAACTCCAAATAAAATCTGTCGGTTTTTACAAAAGTCCAACTAAAACTGGACCGCACAAATGTTTTTGGATCTTCTCAGAACTTCACATTAAAACTAACACACACGCTGAAAGTTCGGCTCTTTAAAAAAACGGTTTGGACCCGCGGTGCACGCGCATCAGCTCTGAAAGAAGTGTTTAAGAAGTTTGTTTACCTGAGTTGTTGTTGTTTGTGTCCATGGCAGAGGTCATCACCACAGCTGGACTACAACACGGACTGTTCAAATGCGGCAGCGGTTCCGCTGGGTCCGGTTCACACCGAGAATGAACGGGAAAGAAGAGGCGGACAGACAGGTTCCGCTTCTACCGCCGCGTCGCGTCTGCACGCGCTTCGAACCGCGCGCACATCCCGATGAACCGAGCCGCACGCGGCAGGGAACGGGAACATGTGACCGCCGGGAGAGCCTCGTGCCCCAGTGACACACTTTCCCGCCTCCTCCTCCGTGTTTTAAACCTCACGTGGAGCTGCAGCAGCTCTGTGCCGAGGGGCATTCTGGGAGATGTAGGCGTGCTCCGACAGCTGCTTCCGGTTTGATGGAGTTCCTCCTCCATCACATGAGGGCCTGGAGCTGCAGGAGGTCAGGACCAGGATGTTTCAGGTTCCAGAAGTTTGTTTTTATTAAATTCAAAAATACAAGATAACATATTTCACATTCAAATATATACAGTTTAACAGAAAACTGAGTTATGGAACAACAAAATAAAGAGATGAAAAAAAAATACCAAAAACAGGCTTAGTAATTAAAAAAAATATCACCAGATGAATTTAAGTTATTTGGTTATCTCATCAATGTACTGGTGCAATGGGCTTTGTTGTTGTTACAGCATGCCAGAACTTCCTTAAATAATACTTACTTTAGAAAAATGTTAAATAATGGGGTGAATTTTAAAAAGCGGCATTCGTGTATAAAAAGTTTAGCTAAAAGGATTAAATTATTACTGTAAATTGCTTCTCTATCCCCTGTTAGAAGAGCCGTTTTGATTTGATCAAAACTTAGAGGTTTAATATATTTTTTTATCCAGGATCCAGTCTTGAAAGTTTTTTCAGAAAATGTTTTTATCATTACAACAATAAAGAGTTGTTCTGCAGTCTCAGGATCTGATTCACAGAACACACAGGAGCTGCAGTTTGTGTTGAATTTCTTTTGTAAGAAGTTGTTACAAAGATATATATCATATATTAGTTTGAAATGTACTTCTTTTACTTTTTGTGGGAGTGGAAAGGAAAGATATTTGGTTCTAATTTTTACAGAGGTATCATATTTTTTAAACAAATACTTTCCCCTTAGTGTTGATGGGAAAGCAATACAAGTCAGAATATTTCTTATAAATTAGTTATTGCACTTTTTCTATCTATAAAGTCACATCCATTAATAATCAACGATGGTTCTTTAAGAGTTATTGCTGATTATGTTATTATTATACCTTTTAATTTGCAGAATCACAGCAGGAGGAACAGCCTTTAATACTCTGTTATATTGAATTTTAGTGCATGTTAACATGTATTTTCCAATAAAACCTTCATAAAAATTTTCCATTTTTTTCCATAAGATGTACAACTGACCTTTCTCACACCAATCTTTAAAAAAATAATGATTTTTTTTTTGTTTAAAGGTAAGTTTCCAATATTGCAGTACTTGTTTATGAAAGTCTGATAGTTTTATAGGTAGTTTAGATATTTCAAAGTCACATTTTATCAGGAATTTCCACCATATTATTAAAAATCTTATAGCTAAGGAGAATTATGCCAGAAACTTTCACATTTTTTAAGAAACTCTGTAATCGTTTAAGTTTGATGGTACCGTTCATTGGAGCAAAACCTACAGGCTCCAGAGGTTTGATCTGGATCATGGAGATGTGTAGAACCGGTTCTACCTGCCTCCATGATCCAGAGGTCCATGAGTAAACACTGTCTACGTCATTGTGTAGAACAAACGTCATTGTGTAGAACATACGTCATTGTGTAGAACATACGTCATTGTGTAGAACAAACGTCATTGTGTAGAACATACGTCATTGTGTAGAACATACGTCATTGTGTAGAACAGTGGTTCCCAAACTTTTTATCTTCTGACCCACAAAATATTCATGGCTAAAACTTGTGACCCC